TTGGCCACGGACGCTTTTCCACAAAAAGTGCTTTTGTGGAAAAGCGTCCTGCCAATCTAGACGTGCTTTTCTGAAAATGCTTTTAACAGAAAACTTTTCCATTAAAAGCATTTCCGGAAAATCATGTCAGTGTAGACGTAGCCACCCTGAACTAAAGGACTACGTCTAGACTGGCATGATTTTCCACAAATGCTTTTAACGGAAAAGTTTTCCGCTAAAAGCATTTGCGGAAAAGCGCGTCTAGATTGGCACGGACGCTTTTTGCGGAAAAGCGTCCGTGCCAGTCTAGATGTGCTTTTGCTCAAAAAAACCCCGATCGCCATTTTAGCCATCGGGGCTTTTTTGCGCAAAACAGTACTGTGCTGTCTACACTGGCCCTCTTGTGCAAATGATTTGCGCAAGAGGACTTTTGCCTGAACGGGAGCAGCATAGCATTTCTGCAAGAACACTGATAATCTTACATGAGATCATCACTGTTCTTGTGGAAATTCAAGTGGCCAGTGTAGACACCTGGCAAGTTTTTCCGCAAAAGCAGCTGATTTTGCGGGAAAAACTGGCCAGTCTAGACACAGACAGGGTGTGAAGTATCCTGTAATTCACTAATCAAATAGTCCATGCATGTTTGCATAGTCTGTTCCTTACTCGCTAGGGAGGTGCCGCCCCTTTGAAACACCCCTGCAGCATTTCAAAGGGGCAGTGCTGAATGGAGCCCAGGATCAGCGAGGGGGGGGGGCGGGGAGCGACTAGTCGACTATCCAATAAGCATTTGCTTATGGGGTAGTCACTAGTCCTTAGCATCCTTTGGCTGAACCTAGAGCTGGGGAAGGTAAGCCTCCAGCCCTCTCCCTTCTACCAGAGACCCCCACCCCTGCTGCTCAAGGCCTCCACGGCAACTAACCCCCCCCCCCCACACACACACACACACATGCACACCCCGAAGCATGGGCAACCCATGACTTCCCTGTGGCTGCTATCCCAAGCACAGGCAGCTCCTTCCTCTGTCGATGGCCACCTCTGCTGCATAGGCAGCACACCTCTCTGGGCCCCCTAAAGTATAGGTGGCTTTCAGCCCTGACCTCCCCTGAGCACAAATGGCCTACAGCACTTGCCTTTTCCATCCCTTCCCTCTCTCCTCTCCCCTCCTCCCATAGAACATGAGGCGCAGTCAGAACATGGCCCCATCTTCAGAAAGGCTTGGGAGCCATGCTAAATGGGGGCAGGAACTGGGGGTGGGAACAGCCTAGCTGTTTGGGAAGGAATTGCCTTCCCCTGCCCCTTAAACCTACCACCTATCCCTGCTCCTATTCCATTTTTATACTGGAGGAATCAGTCTGCAGCATGTTGTGGGCTTCATTGTCAGGTAGGAATAAGAGATCTTCTGGAAAAGGGCTTTATTCCGGAGGATCGCACCAGTCTAGACGCTTTTTTCCGGCTTTTCCCCAAGCCGGAAAAAAAGCGGCGGACATGTTTATTTAAATCCGCGGGGGATATTTAAATCCCCTGCGGATTTCCCTATTCTGACTTACCTGCTTTGCATGCCTTTTCCGGAATTTGGGGCCAGTGTAGACGTAGCCAGTCAGTCTCCATGCCACCAATGATAAAATGTTGCTTTTTCCTCTCTTTTGGAATGCCACTTCTGTAGTCTTTTGCCAGCCTGGAGTGACTCTGAAGATGGTAAGATGTTTTATTGCCTTCAATTCTGCTTCATCTTCCCACCCCAGCATGCTGAAAATGCACTGTGTGGCGGATTTACGGGTGCGAGCACCTCACGCCCCCTCTTCTCGGCTTAGAGTAGAGCCAGGGGCGGGGCTCCGTGGACCCACCGCCTTCTTCGTTCTCCTTGTCCCCAACCCCAGGGCTTGTTGGCAGGGTCGATTGTGGAAGGGGGTGCGATCACCTCCCGACCAGGGGTGGCCGAGAGGGCTCGGCGAACCCCGAGTTCAGGCCCTCTCCTCCAGCCAGAGAGGGGGGGGTTTGGTCGTGGCGTCTCTGGGGAAAGGGGGTTGGGGTCCTGACCCGTGTCAGGTTCTGCGGCTGGTGCCGTCTACCCTGCTTCCAGCTCTTGAGAGTTGCAGGGAGGGTGGGGGAGTGGGGGACCCGGGCCCTCCCTCACCACCGGGTCCCAGCCGGAGGCCCTAAGTGGGGTAGGCGTCTAAACGTCGCCCTCCACGGCGGATGGGGCGGCAGCCCTCAACTCCTCCGCCCACGGGCGCCAAAAGGGCCCTGCCTCGGGCTCCTTCCACTCCCTGCTTGTCCGCCCCGGCGATGGGGCTGAT